CCCGAGGGGGGGGGGGGCCGGGGGGGGGGGGGGGGGGGGCCAAGATCCCATCGACATAACACCCAAGGTTGCCCAATCAGATACTGGTAAAGTAACACACATTTTCCTAGGGCGAAGATGGCTTCCTTCACGGGCAGTTTCGGAGGAAGTGGCAGCTGAGATTCACTGCCGAAAGCCGCATACCTCCGTCGGTTTCCAGAAGATTCAAGATGGTGTCGATCGAGAGTAAGCATACAATCATGACCTTATTTACGAGTCGGTAAATGAACGCTAGAAGAGAAGCAGCTATGCACTGTTTCGAAATATAGCATCACAACAAGTATTCAAAATCTTTTTGATAAATTTGCCCCAAGCAAGTACCAGACTTCAATATGCAAACTAGCAGACCCTCGTCTGTCTCTCACAAGCCGGCATGGTCCCCTCAATCATGGAGGTCTCAGCCGGTGCATGAGCAGCGAATTATCTATGCTGATGAAAGCCACCTTCATGCTGTCTTAACAAGACTCTCGGAGCTCCCTCCCCTTGTCACTCCGGCGAGGATTGAAGCAGCGCGAAAGCGATACGCTGCAGCGGCGCGAGGGGAGGCTTTCTTGCTTCTAGGGGGTGATTGCGCAGAGAGCTTTGACGACACAAAAGATCACATCATAGCTCAGAAAATAGAGCTTCTATACAGCCAAGCTCGCCGTATTGAAGCCGCCACGGGGCTTCCCGTGCACATCATGGCCAGGATAGCGGGCCAATATTCCAAGCCTAGATCTAAGCTCACCGAAATAACGTCTGATGGCCGCGAAGTATCGGCTTTCAGGGGACACAATGTCAATGGCCCTGCCATCACAGACCGGGAGCCCGATCCGAACAGGCTCTTACACGGATATTGGCACTCTGTAGCCATCCTGCACAAGTTGGTCTCTACCGGGTATGCATAACCCTGTTTCAGCCAATGTCTGGTTGATGAAGCGTCTCCTGACGAATCTCACATAGTGTACCACTCGCTACTGCACACGAAGCTCTGCATTTGCCCTTTGAGAGCTCGTTAACCAAAGGAGGCTACAATACCTCTGCTACATTTCTCTGGATAGGGGATCGCACTCGCCAGCTTGACGGTGCTCACCTCGAATATGTCAGAGGTCTCCGCAACCCGATTGGCGTCAAGATTGGTCCCACAACCAATGCAACCGATGTTGTTCAAATCCTTGAATCCATTTGTGGCAAGGACAGTCCCAGTGAGCCGGGCCGTGTTACACTGATCACTCGCATGGGTGCCGATCAAGTAAAGTCCAAGCTGCCGGCAATTCTGGCTGCTGTTAAGAAAAGCCCATATTTACCCGTTTGGATGTGCGATCCTTGCCACGGCAACACCTTCTCCCACCAAGGCAACAAGACAAGGAGCTTGGAGGTGATGCTGAGGGAAGTCAAGTACACCATTGATGCTTTAGCCGCGCATGGCTTGCATCTGGGTGGGTTGCATTTGGAGCAAACTGGGGAACAGGTGGTCGAGTGTGTCGATGCCGTTCCTGATGAGCTAGACCATGTCGATTTGCGGAGCAATTATAAGAGCCTTTGCGATCCCCGGCTTTCAAGGGAGCAGGCCCAAAGATTTGTGGACAAGGTTTCGGACATGCTGAGTGATGTTGAAAAAGTTGGAAAGCAACGTTGTAGAGATGGTCAGGAGGAGTACAGAGCTCGGTTTTTGGGTACTCCTCCTAGTGTATCACCTCTGGAGTTGATACCATCTTTGGTTCATGGGGTGCCCCGCGTATCGATTTGATCTTGTTATTGGTGCCAAGTTTTACATAGAACTAGGAGCGTTTGCTCGCTAGCTTAGGAATCTATCCATATGGCGCGTTATTATCTTTTGACAGCTAGACGCACGCGTGAGCCGTTTATTGGGGCTGCACTGGAAGTATTGACATTGAGATATTTCAATACAATGAGTGAGTATTGAATGCTTGTATTCTATTAACCGTATTTACTGAATTAAGGTCTAATTGGGCCTTTTTTCTGTCGGTCTTCCCTTTTGTTGACGTTGCGACAGAGGCACTAGTCGGCCAGTGATTGGTTTCAATACAATATAGTGCAAGCCAGTTCAAAAAAAGTAAAATAGCTTCCACCGCTTGACCTTTGTGGCCCATGTAAACAAATAAAAGCAGGCAACGTTAACCAGCGTAAATAGCAGGAAAACAGCCAGGTATGCCCACATATTATTCGCCAACTGGCCGTTGTGCAAATTGTACCTGGCGAGGTACTGGTCTCCCGAAATATATTGGCAGACATGGCACATATCTGTAGAGAGCGGATTCGTCAGGTTCGCCCGAGCCTGTTGTGCCCAAGCGCTGGCATAGTCGCCGCACGTCCGACCGGATGGAGGCGGGAACGAGAAGAGATCATCCTCGTCACAATTCACGTTTACGCCGGCATTGACAGCGATAATCATGCCCCCAAAGAGGTATGTGAGGGGGTTGATGTAATACAACTTTGCATGTCAGCATAAACGATACGGGTCGAGCCCCTAAGGTATAGTATACGCACCCAATATCTCCAGAATACTTGAATCTGATGGTATGGCACGACCACGCCGTTGAACCAATTGAATATGGTGACAAGGAACACAAGAACTAGCCCGGCGAATTTAAGATCGGGACTCAGGGCAGTGACAAACAAGCCGAAGCTCATCTCAAACACTTCGTAAATCATGACTAGTAAGAATGCGTAACCCGCGGCTTCACCCAGCGGAAGTCCTGTAAGGAAGTACCATAGTAGGAAATACGTAACACCAGTGACGATTATGGCTGGTATTTCGGCCAGGAAGCTGGCATTACAAAGCGCAATCCAGCTGTAAGTTCGAGACGGCCCTTCTCGTGCCTGCCAAAGGAGCCGCTGTCCAAAAAAACGTGCCAAGATTGGGTTGACGATGGTGTTGACCAGAAAGATGAGGGAAAAGGCACCGAATGCTCTGATTCGTTAGAAGTAGATTTGATACAAGATGTAAATTCGGTGACTAACCTGCTCTGTAAATCAACAGGTGAGGTACCTAGTTGGAAAAAGGTGAATCCAATCAGAATCGCCTGAATGACATGAACCCAAATCTTGCTATAGATGTAGGCTGGTTTTCTCCACTGGTTGAGTAGCATCCTTTTCGTCAGTAACAAAGTCTGAATGAGTGAAGGGGTGTTGAAAGCTTCTTGAAGCTCAGTCGTCTCTTGCCAGTCTGGGCCGTTCTTGATCCTCTGGATTGCATCGGATACGGCTCGAGCTTCAGGGGAATCCTTCCACTTTGAAGCCCAGTCTCGAGACGTAGTTGCTCCCTTGCCTCCTATGCCTGCACCAATTGTCTCGAGGACGAATTCAGCAGGATTGCCGTTCCAGGGTGCCGGTGCCGGTGCACCATTCTTTTCGAAATAAGGCAAAACGTCATCCACGGTGCCAAAACTTTGATTTGTAAGCTATCAAGGCTTTCCGAGAGACTTGTACTACTCACTAGATTTGGTCCCCATTTGAAGACAGGGCAAGAAGATTGTCAAATGTTCGAAACAACGTCGCAGAGGGCTGGTGCACAGTGACAAGTACGGCCTGGCCGAGGCGTGTAAGGCGTTTCAGGTAACCCACAATGGCGGCGGCAACTTGGGAATCTAGACCCGAGGTAGGTTCGTCTGCAAAGAGTATTTTTGGCCTGGCAACAAGCTCGACGGCAATCTAGTATCATGAGCGGACTGGTTGAGAGTATCCTTTGTCTGGTAGCACTTATACTTACCGTAACACGCTTGGTCAGCTCCACGCCCAGCCCAGAGTCGGCATCCCCAATGAGTGCGTCCTGAAAGTCTACCAAGTCTAATATTCCAAGAATTTTATCCACATAGGCAAGTCTCTCCTCGGAACTGTACGAAGAAGGCTGTCTGAGAAGCGCTGAGAACTCCAATGCCTCACGAATGGTAGCAGTGCCGTCGTGAAGGTCCGATTGTTGCGCGTACCCTGGTCTCTGTTCAGTATTGTTCATCAACAAGGCTCAATAGCTATAAATTACCAGCAATCTTCTTAAAGTATATTCCCAGTGGCCGATTACCAAACTCTATTTGGCCTCCGGGTTTCCCTGCTGCGTTCGTCTGGCTGAGATGGCTAAGCAGAGTTGTTTTGCCTGCGCCGGAAGCTCCGCAGAGAGCAGTAAGTTCCCCAGGTCGAACATAACCAGAAATCCCGTTTAAGATTCTTTTATCGCCTATGTCTACGGTAAGGTCTTTCCAGATAAGGCTTGGACCGGCATGGACCTTTGGTTGTTCACCATCAGTGGCGGCCGATTTTTCCACATCAGTCGTGCCATTTTTCTTCTTGTCGGTGCCATTTTCTTTGCGCTGTGCAGCAAAGACGACAGGGCTTCCACCTTGCGGCGTGAAATGCATGATTTCGCTGCCGATTACGCCGACAAGCATGTATGCTACGGCAAACGCGATCAAGATGCCAACGTTTCGCCACCGATTCGAGTAACTGAAGCCGAACGACTCGACATACTGTAGACCTGGCACTGATGGCTGACCAGCTCTCGCACCCCGGATGGCGCATATCTGGTTGGCCGAGGTGGCACCAGCCGTCTGTGGGATAAGCCCATCGTCACACGTTATATTCACTCGGTGAAACTCATTCGTAAGCAAGGCCTCGTAGGTATATCGTGGAGGACTGATATAATGTAGCCATGACCAGACAGGTTTCATCTTGTTGATGGGTATAAGGAAACCGGCAAAGTAGACAGTTGTAGTCGAGGCAATTCCGCCGAAACGGAAACAATCTTCAACGTTGGGCACATAATCTGCCATCAATGTCAGTCTCACAAACGGCAAAAGAGGCACCTTTGAAGCTTACACGCAAACATTCTGGGCGAGTTTGCGAAGTTGATGGTGGAAAGGCACAGAACAAGGTAAAAATAAAAAAAGTCTCCGGCCGTGTACACGACAGTGTGGTGCGCAAGAAAGTAGTATGCAACCATGAACCAAGCATGCTGCAGGGCAATCATTGGAATGTCGATAATGATGCGTGCAACCGCAACAGCGGAGGCCCTGTACATGCTAAGAGAGGACTGCCGCTCAAGAACTGCTCGATTAGAGTGCGCATCAAACAACTCGGGGTACTGCATCCATGCATTGGCGATGATGGCGTAGAAAATAGCACCTTCCCTGGTGAGGGCCCCGGAGGCATTCGTCGAAATACTGAAATACTCGCTGCCAACAACTAAGCAAAGAATAATGGTGTTGATCCATTTCTGATAGTAGACCTGACGCCTTCCATTGATAAGTTGAACCTCTCTCCTTAGACACTCCAGTATCTGCCTCGGATAGGAGTGGTTGACCTTTGATGTTGGAACCAAGTCTGGCTTTGAAGATTGACCCTTTTTGGCTTCGAAAATCTCAGATTGTAAGTGGGAAAAGACGGTAGATGATCGAAAGGCTTCAGCAAGCTCCTTGGGTGTCTTGAGTGATTCAGCAATGCTGCCCTCCCGCACCTTTCGTCTTGTCGGATCCGTAACGGTAGTGAGGAACTCAGATGTCGTTTGTCCACTTTCGTATATAAAACCCAAGTCCTCAAAGTATGACTTTGCTTCATGAATTGGTCCAAAATACACTTGGTGGCCTGTATCAAGTAGAATAATCTTGTCAAATTGCTCGTATATACCTTCGCCAGCCTGATAGAGCGTCGCGAGTGTTGTCTTCTGTGAAATGTCTGTCATTCTTCGAAGTGCTTTGACAAAGTCCAACGCAGTTGATGAATCGAGCCCACGCGTGCTGTTGTCGAAGCACTGCACAGACGATCCTGAAGCCAATACTTCAGCAATGGAAAGCCTTCAGATATTCAGGTCAGCAAACAATCCCATAGAAATTCGATACACTCAGAGACTTGACTAACCTTTTACGCTCTCCGCCTGAAATCACAGATGCCGTTGAATGGAGAGCGTGCTCTAAGCCGAACACGGCCGCCAGTTCTGAAGCCGCGTCGCTGATGTTGCTTCCACCACGATGACTTTTTGGAGCGCCCATACGGAGTGCGAATTCTAGTGTTTGTCGCACTGTTAGAGAGGGGATATGTTTATCTTCTTCTGGGAGGTATATCGTTTCTCTCCTGTGTTTCTGATAAAAGTCTATATGAGATATTCCGGCGTAGTGAACATCGCCTGTAATGCTCAAGGTTGATCTGTTGGCGGTCGCTCGAAGCAGCGTTGAACAACCGCTGCCTGGACGTCCGAGTACCAATAACATTTCACCTGGCTTTACCAAGCCAGTGAATCCGTCAATTATTGTCTTTTGCCCCGGCGGTCGTGCCAAACCCAGCGGCGTTAGGACATGACGAGAGATCCACGCAATTTGGTCATAGCCGAATGTGTTGACGACTGCTCGTGCAAGCGTGTGAACTTGAACGAACCCTAGATCCGGCGCTGATATTTTGATATTTTCGAAAGTGAGAGGTATTTGTTTCATGTCGACTGGTGTGTTGGTCCAGAGACCCGAGCCCGTGCTGCTGGGGCTGCTGGCAACACGACCATCCATTGTCCCTAGGATTTTGCAATAGGTAGAAAACGAACAAAGTTGCTGGCTAAAAGAGAATTCAAGCTTTGAACTGTTCAATCAGCTGTCGTCAACTCTAAAGAAACATAATGGTTCAAAAAGTAGACAACAGTATAATGTCATGAGCACGCGCGTTGAAGTTGGTTCTCGAGCTTAAGCTTGAGCTCGGCACTCGCAAGAGCTCCAAGCTCCTGTGCCCCTGCGTCATCAATTCAAAGAAAACATTCAATACGGAAACGCCACGGAAATTTTGAAACTGTCTCGGGGTACTCGTCAGTAATACAGGACCAACTGTGGCGCCGGAATTGATTCAGAACCATTCTTCTCCGAAGCAACAAACTGCCGGTCCAGGGTCGACGCCCGACAGCCACTGCCGTACGACCCGGGGAAACCGTTCCAAGACATGGGCCTGAATCATTACTAATGCTAAATCTGTTGAATTGTGACTAACCCATATGTGCTGCCGCTATGTCTCAGTTGACATGAAAGTGTTCCGTTGACAATGAACGGTGAGCTTCTCTAATTCTGCCTACAGGATCTGTATGAATGCAATAAACGTCTACTCCGTTCCAATAATCAAGAATCGAGGCACCGCGTTCTTATTCCCATCCGTCTCAGATCCTGGCTCTCCATAGCTAGACCAGTACACCCCAACCTGCTCAAGTTTTCTTAGCAAAGCCAAACGCTCAACCTCATTGCTTGCCTTCATAATAACAGGATACACGGCGGCATTTTCCACCACTGTAGGATTAGATAGGACCGTTGAAACGTCATAAACCTTACGCTTTGCCTCTACACCTGACACGGGGCGTGCAGCCTCAATCTCTTGGACGGGATTCCCAACTTCAATTGTAAGGACGCGGGCTTGAATGACGTTACTGACTAATTGCGGGAGACGATTGTGTGTAGGGGTTGAGCTGGACGTCCTCGAAGTTCTCGAAGGGAATCAATCCATCCCGAAGGCAAGTGATTTGATGGAGCCACTCATTGTAGAGCATCATCAAGTTGGGTGAGCTGCGATGACTCCGTAACAGCCGTCCTGCTGGTGGAACCCATCTATGTCCTTCACAAGGGCTGAAGATTGTGAGACTAGCATCTCCCGGCACGACGCCGCTGTACTCGTGAGCATAGTTGTCAAGGGTCTTTCCAATTCTGAGGATATGCTGTGTTATTGGCGATGGCTCGTCGCTTTTCCAATCTGCCAGATGCAGTGTTGCTTCGCGACCTTCGTGCGATAAGCTGGATCGGAGCCCGTCAAAGAGGATTGAGCGAGTGTCTGCTTCCCCAGGCGAGTCTGGGCCAAGCTGGATGATGACGCTTTCTACCAGGGTGGCGATCTCCCTCATGAACTGTTTGGGTGTGTACACGCCCGTCCGGAATTGCCATTCACTCAAAATGGGGTCAGTGGCCATTTCGACGCCACACAGATGACGGGTAATGTGAACAAGTGAATTTGAGTGTGCCAGAGGCCTCAACATGAGGAGGTGGATCGAGCCGCGTGGAAGTTTGGGTAGCAGTGCAATGTTGCTAGACTATCATGTTTAAACTTGGGACTCGAAACAGTGTAGTGCCGATGGCCTCGAGAGCTCAATGTTGTCTTCCTGTATTTGGACTATAATCTATGGCGGAACCGCTAACCGAGGTGACGTGCTTTTCAGCTCAAGCGTCCGAAGTCCGAACCATCAACCGCTGGTACAGACAGCACCAACATGGTGGCGTCGCTGTCATCTGCGCAGAAAACGAAGGAAACGTCAAAACGGATACCATGTCAAACTCTGTGTTGAAGAAAAGGAAGCAAATTCAGCATAAACCAAAAGTAAATGACTCCCAACACGGTGGACGTCTCTTCCTTGGCCTATAATTGCAGCTTGTGTATTCTAAAGCTGTCAAGTTCATTTGTCTCACACTGACTTCGCTTTTGGGACAGCATTATACAGCCAATAGCAAATTCATCATGAGTGTGGCAGGAGGACAAGCAGCCGCTGATGAAAGAGGCAATCGCTTTGCCGGAACCGAAGGCGTTTACCTTTTACCTCATCATGCAAAGGAGATTGAACGGCTCAAGACACAACATGCCTTTATTCTATCGTCAACCGGAGGCGTATTGCTCACTGCACCTCTGAAGCCAGCGGTGAAAGTCCTCGACTCGGGTGCGGCAGATGGTAAGTTTCCAACTTTCTCGATACGACATACGCACTCTACAATCACTTTATACATGTAACATGATGCCCATTATGTGGATATTATGACTGAACTCTAGCACAGGTACTTGGCTGAGGGATCTCCCTCGTCTGTACCCGTCAACAAAATGGTCACTGCACGGCATCGACATCGCCTCTGCCCTTTTCCCCCGAGATGCTGGAGAGCTGGACCTTCGCGAAGTTGACATTAGGGGTCCTCCGCCGCCTTCACTGCAGTGGCAGGGCGGATTCGACCTCATCCACCAGCGCCTCTTGGTCTGGGGCCTTCCGGGGGCAGAATGGCCAAAGGTGCTCAAGAACCACTACTCTCTTCTCAAGCCGGGGGGCTACATCGAGCTCGTTGAAGCCCAATGGATCGACAGAGACCATTCATTCGATGCTTCGAAATTTCCCAATCTGGCCAAAATTACCAAGGTTCAACAATGGAGCGGGTCAAATTTCGGCATGGACATGTACATTGCCTACCGTTTAGAGGAGCTCCTTCAACAAGCTGGATTTAAAGTTGTATCCAAGACACAATACAGCTTGGGGTATGGCGCAAAGGCCAGAGAGGAAAAGTGGAGGGAGAAGTCGGCAGACATGTGGATTGATACATTCCGCGGATTCGGGCAGAAATGGCCAGTCGGTGGTATCCCAGGAGCTGCCGAGACTGTAGAGGAGTTTCATGCATTGTTGGATGATTTGAGGGGAGAGCTACTGGAATACGGAGTTGCGCCAAAGATAAATTTTGTTGTTGGACAGAAGCCAGAATAGTTGACGGTACATGATTGTAGCTGACCACTGGACTTTTACTGAGTTATTACCTAGAATTGCCATTTTGTCTTCGACAGGATTTGGTTAGGGCTATATGCCAAGCCCGGAGTCTCTGATTACATTTATTCCGCTTACTATTATACACAAAGAGAATACCTTGACTGGTAAATGAGTCTGACATCGACTTTGGGTCACCATTTGATTTGCCAAGGTCAAACTTTGCAACAAGGGTCACACTGAGATTCTTTGACATATCAGCACGAACTGGAGCTGCTGCAAATGCAAAAATGGACGCCGCGCGCCTTGACAAGCTCGCTCAACTTTTGCTCGTAGCCAGGTCTCTGGTGAATTCTGGTGGCTTCATCGCTTCCAGATCGGCGCCATTGCGACTTGGCCACCTGAAATGGCGCACGACAGGGCAGACAAACACGCATCTCCGATGTTCGCTCCTATTGTCTTTAACCAATCGTCTCCGAGCCGACCGGCAGCCACATCACCGGAGGTGGGCAACAGCCGGGATTTTGTTGTTGAAACAGATCAGCCACTTTTCTCCGAGCCATTACCTCCGATCCCCATGCTCCGGCCCTCGACACACTTGTACCTCACCAACAATCGCATGCAGGCATCTTATCTGAAGAACCTTTTGTCAACATTGACCTCTTTGCGCTTGAAATTGCTAAGCAATCGTCAAGCCATCGATCGGAGCAGCGGGGAGTGGATTAGTGAGCCAACAGCATTACACTATGGAAACAGCCAAGGGCTCGTTTTGCAAACTCTCAATGTAGTTGTTCAATCAAAAAGACGCGCTTCTGAGAAAACAGCTCCCATTTGAGATTTCCTAGGCTCTCAGCTAACAGTCAGTTTTCTCCATTGAATTGCATCGAAACAAAAGTCAAAAATGCGTCTTCCACTTAGAGACGTCGTCATTGCAATTGGCGTCTTCTCACCAGACGACGCTGCTGTCGACGTCAAGTCGGAGCAATCACCACTTGTCCCGGTTTCAGGGCACCACGTCTCGTCGACAAAACCTCTGGCTGAGAAATGTGGTCCCAGCACAGCCAACATTGTCTGCATAAACGGCTATTCGGCCGTCATGCCCGGCAACTTTGAGCGTGACCGCCCGCCAGATTCCATAAACCCTCTTGACCAACACTCGTACGCCCAAACCAAGATTCCTGCCGATCCTTCCTGGGACCTTGTCAAGGACGCCGACTTCATAGTCTACGACAAGGAGCGTGGTCTTGAAATTCTTGGAGACGAGCCTACCTCTGAGTTTGCATTCGAGATTACTCCGTTATTCCACGACGCGACAGTATATGATCCTTACACGAATGAGGTCTACTTTTCCCAGCTTTCTGGGGGTGAAATTTCTCAAAAAGTCATTGACTTGAGTGAGAAGAATCCCCAGGTCAAGCGGAAGAAGGCTGATCCATCGCTTTACTCACCTACAGGTGGCATCTATCGCAATGGGCTGTTTTATTTCTGCGTCGGCGGCTCGAGCCCCGATGTTCTCGGTGCTGATGGCACCGTTGCTCGCCCAGGCATTTATACGCTTAATGCCACTAGTGGCGAGTCGCATGTCCTGCTAAACAATTATTTCGGCTACTACTTTAGCACTTGCAATGACATTGCAATGGACGGAGAGGGTAATATTTGGTTCACAGACGATGGTGAGTGAAAGAATTCATACCAGTCGCCAACTTTGGAGCCAACCGACGGAATTGACAAGTCTATATAGACTACTCCTTTGGCAATGGAGTAAGTGCCTATCACCCGGTGTTGGCTCCCGCGGTGTATCGCTTCAATCCAAAGACGGGTTCCGTGCGCATCGTAGACCAGAGACTGAAGCAACCCAACGGCATCGCCTTTTCTCCCGACTTCAAAACACTCTATGTCGCCGATTCAGGCGCCGAGACGGTACCCGACCATCCCCCTGCGGTAGGACAAGTCATTTACAACCCGTATAATGTGACGGATCCTCATGTTGTCTGGGCATTCGACGTGATTCACAATGGAACAGCGCTGGGAAATGCCCGACCATGGCACTTGACTCACAAGGTAAAAACCAAGGGACTTGCTGAATCTCAAAGCTACTTTATGAAACGATCGAGCTTTACTGACCAGTCGCTCTTTTCAGTGGCTCCCCGATGGCCTTCGTGTCGCTGACAACGGATACGTCCTCGTTGGCGTCGGCGACGGCATTGACGTTCTTGATCCAACGGGAGAACTGATACTCAAGATTCAGACCAAGTTTACCGCTGTAGGCAACACCTGGGCTGGGAAAGGGAGCAAGGATCTATGGATCACTGGTGTGGGAGGCGTGCAGAAAGTCCATCTCAACTTGCCCGGTGGCAGGGTCAATGGATGGCCAGAGCATCTTCTGCAAGATGCCGAGGACAATGGAGAGCTGTAGATGAACATTTGCAGTGAAATCGCGGGCGCCTTGCATTGCATAAACATGGTAGTCCGTAATCCGGCTAAAGCACGTTACATTGATCAAATTGTAGTACGAAGGTGGTTTGAAAATTACAAACCAACGGGCATGACACACAAGAGTCCGCAAAACAGTTAGTTCCCTTGTGATTGGTATTCTAAACTTGATCATGGTGATGTAACAAATTCCCCGTGTCCCGAGTCTATCTGTAAATGCCCAACTCCCCGAATTTGCTACGCCACCAGACACAGTCCTGTCGATAAAACACCCAACAATGTGGCCCCATGTCCCGTTACCTATTTTCGGAGATGATTGGCCTTTGTTGGCATGACGCAAATTTCTGGGGCAGGGTTAAGAAGAAAAAAATGATGGGCTTCGGACGTTTCCCGACGTGAATGGGTAACCAATCGCTCGGCTCCTACCATGGTAAGTACGTGAAATGTGTAGATTAAATGAGAAATTGGCCCATGGCGTGGATGCCAATTGCTGTAAGCATTTCTAGGTTTATTATCAACAAAGTACGCTGACACGCGTGGTTCTTTCAAGTCTCGACGTTATTACTTACACGGCACAAGGCATCCTGCCAGGGATTTCCTCGTAATGTCAACAACACAGCCAATCCGCGTCGGCCTGATTGGCCTCTCGGCGTCTGCTGTAACAAAATGGGCCTCGGCCGCTCACTTGCCAAACTTTCAGAACCCAGCCGGCCGATCGCGATACCGCGTTACTGCTCTTTGCAACAGCAGTGTGTCTGCCGCAGAAGCAGCCATACAAACCTACAAGCTCGGCCCGGACACGAAAGCGTACGGAAATCCAGAGGACCTGGCAGCCGACCCGGACGTTGACTTTGTTATTTGCAACACTCGTGTGGATAAACATCTTGAAACGGTGCTACCTAGCATTAAAGCCGGCAAAGACGTATACATAGAGTGGCCGATTGCGTCCAACACAAAAGAGATCCGACAACTTGTAGAGGCCGGCAAGGCGAGTGGCACAAAGGTTCTAGTTGGTCTGCAGGGGCGATGGGCTGCGCCTGTGTTGAAAATAAAGGAAATACTGGACGGTAACTCGGTTGGTAAGGTTTTGAGTAGTGAAGTGAGGGCTTATGGCGGCACCAAAGACAGGGAAATACTGCCTGTTGGTTTAAAGTATTTTGCTGATCGCGGCGTTGGTGGTAATCCGATTACGATTGGCTTTGGACATGGTAAGTTGAAAACACGCGGTTCATTTATTACAATCGGGAAAACCTGACACGAATACCTGGAATCAGTCATCGACTTTGTCCAATCTGTGGTTGGAGATTTCATCCCCGATTCAGTCAATGCGCATTTTCAACTCCAACGCCCGGAAATTCGCGTCCGGGACCCAAGCAGCAATGAGATTATAGATGCCATCCGTTCAAACGTTCCCGACTTTCTCTCCCTCCACGGTATATCCTATTGGAATTGCCACAATGTAAATCTGCAAAATTCTGACATGGCCCTACAGGAACACTTCCTGCCTCGACTCGAGTCAAGGAGTCCGCCACTCTTGACTTCTTGTTTCGCCGCGGCCAGCCATTTCCATCGGTTCCAAGTTTAAGCTGGACTCTGAATTGTGAGCTCGGTGAAATCAGGCTGGTATCGCCAAGCGGCATCTCTCTGCAGGCTGATGCATACCACGACCCGGTCACGATCCAAATTCACCGCTACGATACGGACAGAGTGGAAGATGTAGCTTGGGACTGGGATGATGTACAGAAAGAAGTTCCGGAACGAGCGAGAACAGTACAAAAGGTTCTCTATGCGTTTGCGGATAGTAGAGGAGCTGCATCTGGGAGCAACGGGTGTGCATGGGTAGAGATTGGTGACGCGGCACTGAGGGCGGCTCAATTACAGTCTTGGCTGGATGGCTTCGAGCCCTGATGTCAGTCACGCTTGTAAATACTTGTCAAGACAGTTCAGAACAAAACACTTCATTTTCGCTCATCTGATGCTGTTACTGGCTCAAATATCCTCCCCCCGTCTCGCCCCTTTTGACAGTAAAACCGGTTTTTACATATCCCTTACGTTAAGAGACGCCACGCTGACAATCAACCTGCTCACCTCCGGCAGTCGTTCCAGAAAAGAGGCATCTCCAGGCTCGTCATCTTCATTAACGGTTCCGCCTTCCCGCTCCGAAATTTCCTTTTGGCGTTTGGCAAGGCTAACTGCAAGTCTCAGCCTTTGGGGACCAGCACGCGCATCCGTGTGCCGAAGAGCACGTCGAATAGCGTGCCACTCTTCTTCACTTTCACCAAGCCATAGCGACTCGTCAGAGGGTAACTGGATGGCGTCGAAGAGATCTTGAGGAAATAATGGCTCAAAATACGCCGGGTCCAAGATCTTGGCTACTCCGAGCAGATGATGGATTATGAAGATGAGGAATACTGTGCGTCGAAGCGATTCGTGCACCAACCATGTACTCCATGACATACTGGCGGGTGTTGGTGACGAAAGCACCGAGTATGGTCTTTTGTTGACAGCTACAGGCTTTTCCAGGTCAATCAATAGCCGTCGCGTTGCCTGGGGCTTGTGTTAGTGGTTAGGGTGCAGGTTGTCGACTTTGCTGAATGAAACGCTTACCCTGACGAGATACTCGTGATGTAGCACTGCAGTTGCAAGTTTCGAGCTGTATCTATTATCGGACAACAACCCCTCGATCTGGTAGATGCACATGGCGTGCAATAAGGCGCAGACGCCCTCGAGATCATTCCTGTCGGATGTCGATGGCTAATATAGTTAGCAGCAGCTACTGTTTTGTACGACTGGGCGATTTGATGCTCACAATTTCCTTGATCAACTTGTCCCGCTGATCTTGAAACACGTCACAAACAAACTGCAGTCCGGGCTGTTCCGAGTGCATTTTCATCCCGACGCAGGCCAACGCCTCGGCAATCGGTTGCGGCATCCCCTTGGGGCATTCTCGAGCAAGCTTGGGGTGAATGAATGGGGATCGAAATGTATCCGCCAGCATGCGAAGCGGGTATTCAACTGTCATTCTTATGGCATCGTCAATGCAAACGAGACCGGGCAGCGAGGAGGTTGGTCCCGTCGTGGAGTGCTTGACGATTTCTGCCAGACTGCCAGAATTTCTCAACGAAACCCTTGATCGATACACGTTGGGGAGCGGGTCAGATAGACTGGTAAATGACAAGGGCGTAGAAACCATCGGTGACTGATCAGACTGAGGGGGGGAATTGTTCTCTTCGGAACCGGAACCGGTACGAGACCTGGGGGGGTTCCTCGGTTCTTGGTGATTTTGGCGACTCGCTGCGAGTGCAGAGTTTGCCTGCGAGCATCGACGACGTGCTTGCTCGAGATTGTCGAACGTGATGCCGTTTTGGTGTATTGATCCGGACTCGGACATGAGGAAGTCTCCATCGCTTTGTTTCGCTCCCTCAAAGTACAAGGAGGAGGATTGTAGCAGCTCCCGCGTCCAGTTTGGCTCATCCATGGCTACATCGCGTGGGGATTCATCGTCCAATCCAGATGTTGACTTGTTTGATGCCCCGGAGCCGTGATTACTAGTCAAGCGTCCATCTCGTCTGCTAACCGAGTTGGGATCCCATAAACATGACGATGGATCGGCATGACCTGCGAGCAAGTCGAGAGAATTCAAGGGTCCAGCCGCTGTAGATAAGCCGAAGATATAGTTTGCGCTTGTCGTCGTCGCCGTTGGGAGCAGTCCTGGTATGAGATTATTCACATCGCTGTTGCTTGTCACGTTTGTCGTCAGAGAGGCGGCTGACAGGGGATTTTGCCAGGCCAACGATGAGTCTATCGGCAAACGAATTTGAGACCCAAGCTTGTATTCGCATTGAACGGACCGCGATGTGCAGCGATTGCCTAGATACATCCATTAGCCATCGTTTGTCCTTCTCCAAGAGAGGTTTGACGGCGGCGGGCTCGTACAGGCGGGCTTTTCGTAGTCGCACTTGACCTTTGATGCAATGCATCTCTCACATGCCTTCTTCTTCGTCGGCTTCGCTTTTCCTATTGTCTTCTCGCACCTCCGTCGATGACGATCACGTAGGTCTCCTAGACGTCACGTCCTCGGTATTAGCATAATTTGCTGTGGAGACGACGCCAGGCGTTGTCTCGCAGTCTACGGAAGTAAACCTGATGACGTGTTTCTGTTACATTGCATCACTCATCACGACTAAATTTCTTCAGGCATATGGGGCATATATGTTGCTCGTCTGATGGCAAGTCTGTCGTCAGGGCGCCTGCTTCCAATCCCGTCATGGCCCATTCACCTGCCACAGCCGGCTGAACACCCAAAGACATGAGAAATACGGATCTGTGCGACCGCCGACTTCAGTATGGCTTTGATGGAGAAGGAATACAGTCTTGGTGGTGTACAGGGCTTGGCTCGGCAGAATCTTGGATCATGACACGTCGCTTCGTCGTTGCAAGCCGCTGCAACAGTGAAGCTAGAAAGTTCACATACACATGGGGAGTGATCGCGGACTTTCATGTTGGTCATTTCAGACATGCTGGATTGCCGATTAGTTCCATTCAACAGGGGCATGGGCGACGGTTGACCCGCAGATTAGACCAGAGTTGTACTTTGTGTAGATAACACCAGACTATTCGATGTGGTCAACTGCAAGCTTACACAGTTTGCTGATGGGAAAACCCGGAGCCTTGTCCTATTGGCGGCCCTCGGAATAATAGGGACGCCTTGATGACTGGTAGTTGAATGCATTCGAAGCACATGGGGGCCGACTTGGTCCTGAATTCGCCTAGTGCAAGGCAACATTGGAGCCCAATGTCACGCCATGGATTGTGCTTGGAGTCATTGGTCGAATCCGTGATGGCTTTTGTAATAGAATCAATGGGTCGCACCGGCACCAATGCTAGAGATTCTGCTGCCGACTTGGTGTTGGATTCCAGTGGAATATTTCATGCTACTCTTGGCAATTATTGGTGAATACGTATCATTTCAAGTTAGTACTATAGGGAGAATGTTTTTCTCAATGCTTTTCAAAATATTAAACTAGGCATTTATGTTCTGAATGTAACGTCAATTTGCACTGTTTCTTGCCCAAGTCCGCGAACCAAGTCCATGAGCGGTGCTCGAGCAATAACTGTACGTACCATTGACGCTGGCTATCACAGATTCCGCAGTATTGGAACAACTCAAAGTTGTAGGTGCTTTAAGCGTGGCGCTTATTACTACGTGTCTTGGTGCGCTAGGAATAATTCTTATGAAATAGTAAACCATCAAGGAGAATAAAAAGGCTTAGTGAGTTTACTAGCTCATGTGCAATAGTTAATGACATGACAGTTAAGCAGTACCAAATCTGATTTAATACATTGTAAGTAGATTATGCTTACTTATACCAGATCTAGTAAGCGCTAGGTTAGCAGCTAGGTTAATAACGACCAACAAATACCCAGTATTGGTTCTGTTTCTTTTTTGGCCCTCTGAAACTCAGATAGGCTCGGTTATTAATTACAACTGCTCGGCGTCTCGTTTTATCGTCTATCCACCAGACTCTCTTTGACGCCGTGGCGTCTTGTGGCTCACGTATTTCGTCGCAAGTTTTAAAAGCCAGCCTCGTTGCAGGTTTGTATCGCAACGTCCTCTTGACGTATTTCGCCAAGTTCGATGCCACATTACTCTTTCTGTTTATTGTCACACGGCTCGTCACGCGCTCATCGTGTGTAACATCAACACCATCATCCATCACATTCTGCCGCGACCCCAATTGACAGAGTCAACATCCAAATTTCCCGGCTTCCGCCGTCAAAGTAGTTACTTATTAGATGTCTCATCGTGCATAGTAATTTTGTGTTAATTGTCACCGACTCAAACGTTGGGCTTGGCCGAGAAGTTGCTGCCGTCGTTTGTATGTCTCCTCTCATTTAAGCTAATGGCGAGTTAACTAATATGGCAGCAGCGCGAAGAGTTTTAAACCAGACAGCTGGCGGCAAGGGCCGCTATTACGTACTAATAAGCCAGACGCTTTTAACGCCGCACCGTGCTTTGTGGTAAGCTTGCTCCCGGGGCTGGGCTGTGTCACCCGGTGCGGGTTGGTGCTAAATCTGACGCCGCCTCGTGGGTTACATTATCTTTGTCCGCTAGAAACCCATTGATGGCACCCGATGAGGACACTATTAAGCACCTCAAGCCGACGGTCGCCCGAGTAAATTCTTTGTATGTTTCGTATATAAAAGCGCTATCCATCATCATACTAAATCGTGTAGGATGTTATTACGTCAGGCAGGGTCTTGGGTTTAGCATTGGCCAGAGGATCGAGTATATCATTAGGTGCCTCGTTACACGTGCTCTCGGACTCCTAGTAGCTTAGACACGCCACATGGGATGATTTCGGCGTCACCAGCTCATATTACGTCCGCTGGGAAGTTATTTTCCGCAACACCATACATGAATTTCCGGCAATCCAGCAGAAAAAAATGCGGGACTAGCGCACGTGGAATTTGGCTCATATGCGGAGTGACAGACATAGGAATGGAATGGAAGCACTGAAGCAGCAAACAAGTTCGTGATGGAGGAGCTGGCAGTGGTCAGGCGACGCGTGCCTCTCGGAAGCGCTTTGCGATTTGTGAGGGACATTGCACGATTCGTCGAGTAACTATGAAAGGGGCGACAGAGAATAATTCTCGTATCAATGATACGAGTTTACTGCAGCTTTTGGCGGCAGTTCAAGTTTTGTTATTCTAGACTAGAATCACCACCTACCCAGGTAGGTAGGTAACGTTAGTTATGCGATGAAAGTCGGGAAACCTGGTGGAACAAATCACGTGATATGAACTAGCAAGTGCTCGCGACCCCTCGGAACTCTACCCTCAGGAGTCAGAATCCACGACAACTTGCTTCTATAGAGGCGCTTGAGTCTTCAACTCCTCCGCCATCCCCTGTCTTGGTCAAGCGCTTATCCGACGGATGTGGCCTGCGGAACTGATGACCAAAGCTTTCTCTTCTACCCCAAATCGGGGGGAACCACATACCTAGGCCCTCTACATGATGGCGAAGCCACTCCATCGACACCAGTCATCTCTTGAGGGATTCGTTAATTTCTCGTCTAGCACTCCTTTACAGGATACCGAGCGACTTCAAGCGAGGACTCTGTTATATAAGATCGTCCAACACTACGAGAACCAATCAAACATTACGACAAATAGTCCATATAACCGACCGAAACTCTTGCGCTTGACATTCGAATATGCGACTACAGAAGAGTCCAAAGACAATGTTCTGCGCGCTTTTTTTAACTCTATCGGCTTGTCAATGACAGGAGATGTTGACTTATCATGCAAAAAAACAGAGGCAAATGTTTGGTTTAGCATAAAGGGGTTTGCTGATTCTCTAATTGATAACTTTTTCTTGCCTCGTGAGTCTAGTTGCCTCAAAATACCATCGTAAACACTAAATTGTTTTTAGTGAAGGCGTCTACCAGAAGAGCCCCTCAATACTCACCCGCGTATCACTCAGCCGTTAAACGGTCGAGAACTGCAGAGCCATCTCTCACAGGGACATCAGGCCGATTGAAAACCCTTCGCGGCGACTGTCTCGTGCGCGACAGGCATCGATGCGTAATCTCCGGCAAATTTGACCAAGAACAAGCTGTGAAACGAGTGCACGAATGCGGTGACAATGCTGTTGATGACCATGGTAGCCTACTCTTCGGAGAGACTTTTGACATCCTTGAAGTCGCTCATATTTTGCCGCATTCTTTGACGCAATGTAACTCAGACTCGGAACTTGTATGTTCCCTTCCTATATGCAAGATTTATTCGTTAACTGGTGCAGGATAAATCTCGAATAGCGGCACTTGAGATTCTTAACATGTTCGATAACGACGTGGTCCCTTTGATTGAAGGCCCGGAGATCGACCGACCACGCAATGCCCTTACGCTCACGTCTAGTCTCCATTTCTTTTTCAGCGGCTTTGAGATATTTTTTGAACCATTAAAAGATATGCCGAATACTTATAAGATTGATACGTTTCTTCCATACGCCGCGCTAAATAATTTACTGCCCAAAACACGCACACTCTTCGTTACTGAACAGCGCACAATTGATCCTCCGTCTGCACGCCCCCTTGCGATCCATCGGGCCATCGCCCATATTCTTCATCTCTCCGCAGCAGGACTCTACATCAGGCGAATTCTTCAGGATGCAGAGGATCAGAATGTACAAGCAGATGGGTCAACCGCCCTCGACAAATTAGTGCAGCTAAGAATGGCTGGATGGGTGTGAGGCGAGCGTAGCTGCTAGCCAGCTTAAATCACCTCCCGAAATATTTGTTACTTTCGCATCACGATGACGACTGGAAGTTTGAAAGCGACCGTGTATGTTGGTACATGGGCAATGGCGAGCCAGGTATTCATGAGCGTCTAGTTCTATACTCATTCTAAGCGGCTTTGTAGTACTTTATGGAACACAGTCATTCCTGCAAAAGAGACAGACGACCCCCATGACGGAAACGAGCATCCGCAATGCAACGGTGGCTGCCAACCTTGTCAACGCACCAACCCAGATACTTCCTTGTTTCGTCTCCAGCACCTTATATTAAATCTTTTAACGACCGAGAAGGATTCTGCAATTCGGTTGAAATCCGGTCAGTAGGGGGATGGATAACTTCACCCTTGCATCCTCGCAAACCCGTAAGAGTCCTTCCGAGTGGTGCCAAGATGCGTTATCCATGGCCATCACGGACTCGGGCCGTGGGTATCTGCCACAATACTGCAACAGCTCTGGCATAAAGTCATTAAAAAATGCTGTATCTGTGGATCCTTGGTAGATACGTTTCAGGATAATACCATCTTGGGTATAATCGGGGAGTTTATGCCACCGATTGCCCCTATGACAAACCTGTTACGTGGGCCATGTACATATATAGCCATGTCGTTAAAGGCAAAAGAGCAAGTCTTTATCCTCTTATTCATGCCTCGTTAGTGGTCATGCGTTACATTCTCGTCTTGGGTGTCAAAATTGCACACACATTGGTAAGTCACCGGTGGCTACGTGATGCAATTCATTGAACCAACCCTTCACATCCTTGGAAATGACTGTAATGCCCGGGGCGTGTCTACTGCCCCAATTGAGCTGATCGTGGACACCGACCTTGGAGCTCGCTCTGGAGAAGACGACGACGACGTGTTGGGCTATGTGTAATCAGTGATGGCGGAATTGATAGCATTGATGCATGATTATTCCAAGTTCTCTACTAAAGTGTGTCACGTATAATACCCTTTATGTACCTTTACGCATGTGCACCAGACTCCAGTCTCTTTGCCTTTATGCTCGTGATTCCCCTCACATACAGTGCCTGATCGAGGTGCCGCCTCGCCCGCTCCCAGACTTGGGGTTAACAAGGTCATCCCGGATTTTTTTTGGCAGCCCAGACAGCAAATTCTCTTCATTCCTTTCGTCGTTACAGTAAACCTCCCGACAGGGCACTCCCTACTGTTTTCGTGCTGCGTTGCATGGACCGGGAAACGGAGATATTTCCCCGAAGCCATACCTATATGCTACCGGACTGTATCTGGTTCGATGACCCGAATTCTCTGCAAGACTGCATGCCGCGACGGAAATCAGTCACCGGTTACGCAGCTACGCATTAGGACGTTCTTGCAGTGCTTCACCGGAGAAAAGAGAACCAAAGGTTAGAGGTGAGCGAGGAACTAGAATGGCTTTTGGGGGACGTGTTTTCACGCTTCATTGCACCAAAACCGATGCCACAGCGGTCCTTTATTTAAACTCCGTCTCCCTATGACGCAGGCTGATGGCAAAAGAGCAGTGACATAGTGGCCGCTTTACAGACAGTCTTGCCCGCAGGTTGCGATGCTTGGGTACTTCATGGCCGTCGATGAGCTGAATATGCACTCGGCGCAAGAGTTTTCGTCTTTTCACGGTGGCCAAGTAGAAGTTTGGACTCAATAGAGCCGACAGACTCGCGTACTCTACCATACTATCGCAGAGACATGAGCAAAGTTTTCAAGCGTACGGACAGCCAGAACACTTTCCCTGGACATATGGCCGTCACCTCCAAGCCCAGCCCGACAATGGAAATTGCTCCTTGGCCGTTCCGAGCTCCGGTCATGAAACTCTTGCATAATTCTGTCACACCATGTCAGCAAGACCCAGCAGCGACAAGAAATACTAGAATCGACGTGTCGGCACAATAAACGGACGGCGCATCGGAGCAACTGTTCGGTTTGAACGGACTAGACATGTCTGGGTTATTGCCTGTTTCGGACGAAGCTCGAATGGTATTGGCTACAGCCGTGCATGAACCCGCTTCACATGCCGGACAAAGTTGTGATGAATCTATTTTGAAACTAGCCTACTGGTCTTGTGCCACGTGCTTCTCCGTTACACCAATCATCTCGTCGTCCGTCAGTTCCATCCTTGGTATCAGGTATCCTAAGTTCTAACCAGGTAATTCTAAAGTACACATCCACCGCAAACACGTCTTTCCCCCCCGACCATTGACATCCAAGCGACGAATGGGGGTCTCAGTTGCCTTGGACACCGACCTTGCTGGAGCTAGAAGCGAGCTGGTCGAGCAGAATGACCTTGAGCCAGGTGGGCCAGGCCCGGATGCCGGTAAGAGAGGACTGCTTGTCCGGGATAATGAGCTGAGCACCTCGCTTCCTGAAGATCTGGTCGGTGATGACGCCGGCGACGCCGTCGGGGGTGAGCATGCGGATGCCGCCCTCCTCGAGGTGGTGGCCAAAGTCCTGCACCAGGGGCGTCCGCACAAAGTTGGGGTGGGCAACCGAGGTCAAGACGCTGTCCGCCTTGTAGACATGCTTCAGCTCAATGGCCAGCGACTCGTGGAAGGACAGGGCGGCGGCCTTGGTGGCGGAGTAGTCGGCGGCCTTGGGCAGGGCAATGAAGGAAGCCATGCTGGCCACGGTCATGATGTGGCCCTTGTTGACCTTGATCATGTGCGGGAGGAACTGCTGCACCAGGGTCCAGTGCGACAGGCAGTTGACGTCAAAGATCTTGTGTAGAAAGTCCCGGGGCATCTCGAGAATGGGCAGGGGTCTCGTGATGCCGGCGTTGTTGACAAGGATGGACGGGTGGCCCAGATGCTTCCGGATGGCGTCGGCAGCCTTGGCCACGGAGTCGGGAGAAGTAATGTCACACTTGTAGTGGCGGATCAGAGGGTCGGCGGCAAAGTCCTTTGGTGGTTCCTGGACGTCCAGGATGGCGACTCTGACTCTACGGGCGACCAGGCGCTTGACGATGCAATATCCAATTCCGCTGCAGCCGCCCGTCACGACGGCGATTTCGCCGGGCCAGTCCCAGCCCTTGGCCGCGGTTGCGCGCCAGCTGTTGGCGGCCATGGAGCTGAGGCCCTGGTTGATGGTTTTCAGAAGTCCCAGGCCCAGCAGGACCTGGAGCACATTTCTGGCCACGTCAATGTTGAAGTTGGGCGGGAGGTGTTGGAGGACTTGCTGCTTGAGGTGGTCGGGCGCATAGAGAAGGGCGGCGAGGAGAGGCCCGGAGAAGTAGGGCGATTGAATCACGGCGCTGAGCGACTGCAGGCCCCTGACGGGCGCGGATTCTGAAAGTTTTACCAGCGACATGGCGAGAGCTGTGAGACGCGAGGTGATGTGATTGTGTGGGTGGATTGGGATGACGGCCGTGTTCAAACGCAGTCCTCGGCGGCGGAGCTGTGATGTCAAACGCCGCAGTCTCTATTGACAATTGAAGCCGTCTAAATGGAGGAGGTGACAATGATTGTACGGATTAGACGTGCCCTCCGAAGCCCAAAACACCATGGGCTCTATATACAGTTGAGCAAGATGCGATGGAGCCAGTCGCGTGGGTGGGTTGGCCTCGGCTAGCCACCGTTCGCACACCTTGTCTCACACAACTTGACCTGCTTGAGCCGCTGAGTCTTGCAACTGTTTGGTGGCTGGACCGATGTTTTGGGCCGTAGGTCCGTTCCGGTGCTGCCCTTGGACGTAACTACATGCTCCGTGCTTGTTCGGGCTTCTCAGCTGTAAACTAGTTAGTTACCTAGGCAGTCTCACCTAGATTCACGGCCCCAGGAATCAGGATGTGGCAAAAGCAAGACGTGCCAACTGGGTTAGGGGCGGACAGCAAGGGACATGGGAGGCAAATCTGGAGGCTGTGGGGGGCGGGGAGAATCAGCGAGTCGCAACAAGAGACTAAATAGTCAGTGCCGCTACGCAATTGACTCGAGACTTGGGTCCTCTTGGACCCTCTCGACCCTTTTCACAAGCTTCTGGTTTTGGCATTGTGGGGGAAGCCATGACGACGAAACCCGGCGAGACTGGGGCTCCCCGTTCCCATGACGGTTGTGACGGGCTACCGGGCGAACACCCTCGTCCGTGTCCATCCCCATCGCGAACCACATGCCGGAACCCATGGTAATATATGCACAGACAGGTACAAATCGGCACATGCATGTTCATATGCGTAGCTTTGCACAACGTGGCTCCAGAAAAAAAAAAGGACTTGCCACGGGGTGGTATAAAGTCGGTGTCTAATACAACTAACCCCCCCTTTCCCACATATCTCTCTACTATTCCTATTTGCACTTTTTATGCCCTGGCGAATATACCCTTTTTTTCCCTTCTTGTTTAAACTTGTACAACACTTCTCCATTGGTCAAAGCCTCACAAGCTACAGCACAACCGACGTAGACATACGCAACCCCGAAGCCGCTGCAGCCATGACAGCAACGCAGACCCAGCCGCCTGCGGCTTCGACAACAGTTCGCCACAAAGACTCGATGAAGTCTACATGGCGGCGTAACGACCGCAGCACGTGGAACATGTACCAAAAGACCATTGACTTCTTCGGCGTCCATCCCGTTGCTCTGGACCAGCCCGTTCCCAAGCACGCCAAGTCGGACAAAGTGCCGCACCTGGGACAAGTCTCGCAACACATCTGGATCCTGTTCTACGGCTTGGTTCCCTTGGTGCTTCATCAGGCGTTTGTGTCGTTGACGGGGTGGTATGTCAGCAAGCACGCCGCTTTCCACTTCTACATGATTGTCTTCAACGCCATCATCGTCAAGGAAGTCCACGTCTTGCGGCGCCTCGGCCACAAGCACGGCTTCCTCGACGGCGACGCCCACGACCGCGATGGCGTCCCCGACCACGGCGCCGGAAAGGTCGTCTGGTCGATATACAAGACCATCGGCGCGCGCCTCGCCATGATGGTCTGGTTCAGCTACACCCCTACCCAGGCGCCGCTCGACGTCATGGGCGACT